CCGCCCTCCCCCAGCTGCCCAGAGCCGCCTCCTCCGCCCCCGGAGCCGGCACCAGGCCCGGCCAGGAGGAAACCACACGCCACAGCAGCACTGAGTGTGACCAAGTTCACTCACTCAACACAGGACCCAGGACAGAAGCCCAGGGACACCCCGGCCCTGCGGGCGACACCCCAGAAACAGGCCTCCCCAGGACAGTGCCCGCACCCAGAACAGGGCCAGGACTTGGTGAGGAGCTGAGCCTCTGGGTGCCACGGGCCAGGTGCCAGCCCAGGTGTCCGGCTTCCAGGGAGAGCCACCTGCACCCCACCCAGACCCCCAGAGCCCCTCACCTGCAGCCACACCCAGACCCTCAGAGCCCCTCACCTGCACCCCACCCAGACCCCCAGAGCCCCTCACCTGCAGCCACACCCAGACCCTCAGAGCCCCTCACCTGCACCCCACCCAGACCCCCAGAGCCCCTCACCTGCAGCCACACCCAGACCCTCAGAGCCCCTCACCTGCACCCCACCCAGACCCCCAGAGCCCCTCACCTGCAGCCACACCCAGGCGCTGGGTGATGAGGAGACCCCCATCAGCGTGCCAAGCACCAGGAGGTGGGACACGCTGGAGACGACCCCGACCGCGACGGCGCCCCGCATGGTGAAGGGCAACAGCGTGTACACCACGAAGACGATGAACAGGAAGAAGGGCACCTGGCACAGGACACGGTGAGTGCAGGGCCGGCCCGCCGCCCACCAGGACCCAGCCCAGACCCCACTGGTGGCCATCTCCGCCCGACCTGGGCACGGCCTGCCCGGGGGTGAACGACACAGCGGAAGCAGAGCCCAGAGGAGTCGGTTGTGGCCCCCTGCTGGGGCCCCGGGACCGACCCCTCGGCCTTTCCTGGCACATGAGCCCGTCCCTGCCTTTTGCTTTTCTGAGCTGGACATGGGTTACCTCCAACCCAGGGAGGGTCCACCCAGAAGAGCCCAGACAGACGGCCAGCCAGGCGGACGTGCCTCCCGCCTCCATCCGCCCCTTCGGGGCAGAGACTGAGGCCAACCAAGGTCAGCCCAGGGCCCAAGCCACAGAAGCGCAGCCTGGGAGCGGGAGGGCCGGGGCCAACCCCCCAGTGCTGGTCCATGCCGCCCCCACAGGGGCCTGATGCCCAGAGACGGCCCAGCGAGGAACGGCATCCAGCCCCCAGGGGCTCCGGGCCCTGCCTCGTACCTGCTCCCACGCACAGGCCGCCTTCGTCCACGCGTCGAACACCAGCACGTAGCCCAGCGTCACCAGGCAGGCCCAGATGAGCAGCGCCGAGGTCCGGAGCCACCGTTGGACCAGGCACTCGACGTACACCAGCACGTACAGCACCGCGAACACGGCAAGCGCCAGGAACGCCGTCACCAGCACGGCCTGCTGTCCGGAGAGGTCCTGGGCGTGAAAAACACACATGGACGTGTCACGGCTTCCCCAGTGGGTGCCGCCTCCTCCAGGAAGCCCGCCAGGCTAGCCTGTCCCCCTGCCTCACTCACCCCGTAGCTGAAAATGATGATGATGAGGGCGATGCAGGCCACGATGACCACCAGCAGGAGTGTGAGCAGCAGCGGCCCATGCTGGCTGGTGAGGCGGTACTTCTCGTACAGGGCATCGTGGTCCGGGCCCTCCTCGCCCTCATTGAGGAAGTAGCGCCCCTTGGCCGGCATGCTCTGCCCCTGGCACACCTGCCCGGGAAGCCCACTCAGGAGAGCCCAGGGCCTGGAGGGCATCTGTGTGCCGACACCCTCCCTGTGGGCCTAGGCCTCTGGCCGCTCTGAACCCGGCAGGCGGGGCTGGAGAGGGGGCCCCTCGGCCTGCAGGTCCATGGGCACCGCGGTGCCTGCCGGCTCCACCCCAGGCCTCGGTCACTGCGCTTCTGGCATCTTCCTTGGCATCCAGGCCAGGCTGACCAGACTCACGGCTCCTCAGCTCTGCAGACACACAAAGCGACCCGGATGTGAGCTGGGCGGCCTCAGCCTGCGTCTGATCTCTCAGCCTCAACCTGGACCGAAGTCCAAGTCCTGCTGGGGCTGTGCACACCCCGAGGCCACAGAGCTTGTCCCCTGGGCTCCCTGGACCGCTCTGTGGGTACAGCAGTCGCCAGTCACACACGGCTCGAAAAATTAAAGTTGATTAAAATGAAGTTAAATACTCAGCCCAGCCTGGCCGGTGTGGCTCTGGGTTGAGCAGAGAGCCGGAAGCTGCCCGCCGAGCTCTCTCCGGCAGCGGCAGCCCCGGGACTGAACCGGCCAGTTACACGCAGCGCCGCCTGCCCCTCGGGGATGCCAGGTTGAACGACCCCAACCCCAACCCCGAGAAACGCTAACTCCCATGGCGGCTCCACCCCAGCAAACCACACACACTCACAGACACGTCGTCCAACACACACTCACACACATACACACACAGACACACACTCACACACACACACACACACTCACAGACACACACACACAGACACACACACAGACACACAAACACACACACTCACAGACACACAGAGATAGACACACACAAACACCATAGGCACGCAGACACACAGAGACACAAATGCATGCACACAGAGACAGAAGCGCATGCATGCATGCACACATGGACACACACACACAGGCACAGACACACATGCACACACAGACGTGCAGACACAAGGCTCCGGGCTGCCTTTCCCTCCCGACCGCTGGCCGGCCCTCCAGGCACGGGACGCCCTCTGAGCCGGCCACGCAGGCAGAGGACCAGCTGCGAGGTGCGTGGGAACCGGCCGGGGACACACTCCCCTCGGGGGCCTAAGGAGCCGCTTCCCGGGCAGCGGCGGGGGTGCCGGGCGGCGCACACTGCCCGCTGGCACAGCCCTCGGCCCGTCCAGGGGCCCGTCCACCCCTGAGCAGAGCCGGGCCGGGCCGGGCGGAGCACCCTCACTCCTGAGAGAAGGCCCGGGACCCCATCACACCCCAGCCAGCTCCTCCCTAGGAGCCACCCCTAAACCAGACACAGGGCCCCTCCCTGGGCAAGGCCTCAGGCCCCGTCTAGTCACAGGCCCTTCCCTTTGCTTCAGTAGGAAGTCCTCACGGC